CCTGAACAAAGCTGTTCCACTTTTGTGTAGTTCAAAGAAACTATGTCATTAACCCATGCAATGATGTCATGTCTGCTCATAGTCTCTTGGGTTATCGAGGTAGAATACACATTGACTGCCATTCCCCAACTAGAAAAAAAAAAACAAACAGGTTTATTCACCTACAAGGAAAAACTCACTCAGACATATGAAAGACACCTATTCAAGGCTGAGACCCCTGGCAGAACACTAAAGGATGTGAAAGTCCTGCTTTGGCTAAACACTTTCTCTTTTCTTTCTATTCTATGTATTTGCTGTAACCTGATTACATTTCACATATTTTCATGCAGTGCCATTTTACATCTCCCCCAACTGGACTCAAGTGTTCTTCAGGTTCTTAGATACCTCCCATTTTGTCCTTAAATCCACATGTGGTCTTGATAGTTATCAGGTCTGTAACTGAACACTAGAATTATCTTTCAGCTTCACAGACTACTTCATAGTTCTACTTCATAGGACTACAAACAGTGCAAGTCCTGCAGGCTGTATCCCCGCTGCATCCAGTTGCTCAGGCTAAAAACACCATCACCATTCCTGCCTTCCAGGTTTCCATCACATTCACTCCACCAGCAGACAAGCTGTCTCTGCCCTCCAAGTGCATCCAGAGACTGTTACCCTGATCCAAACTCCGGTCAGCTTCACCTGGTGTTTCACAGTAGTCTTTTAGTTGGTCCCCCAACTTGCACCCAACTATCCTCACCATCTATGGTCAACACATCAGCCAGAGTGATCCTACTGGCATAAATCAGACCTTTCCCCTCCTTAAAGCCCTCCAATGGCTGCTCATCTCAGAGTACAATCCCAGTTCTCACCAAGCTTTATAAGGCCTTGTATATTCTGCTCCCTAACACTATCTCTTGCTCCCCACCCCATCTACTCTATCATAACCAGCCTCCTGGCTGTTTCTTGAACCCTGCAAGCTCATTTCTCCTCAAGGCCTTTGCACTGCATGTCAGCCAGGATCTCTCAGGTACTTTGAAGCTTACTGCCTCACTTCCCTCAGGTTCTCACTTGATGCCACTTCGTCCAGCAGGTGGCTCATCATTACCTACCTACTCTTTTGCCCCTTACAGACACAGGGATACAAGCTCCATGTGACAGGCATGTTGCTCATTTTATTCTTTGTATATTCCTGGTGGCTAGTTCTGTTATAGAGTAGGCTTTCAGTAAAAATACTGAATGCAGGAATGTGCTCTTTTTTCAATATAGGTAAGCAGAGAAGTAGTTAAGAACATGTTTTAAATCAGCTTTAGAGGAAATCAGCTTCAGAGGAAATCAACTTTAGAAACTGGTTACTTATGTTACAATTAACAAACCTACACTGATGCATTAACATCACCTGAAGTCTATACTTTACACTGGGTTCATGCTTGGTGTATATTCTGTGGGTAGTGACAAATACATAATGACATGGACCACACAGAATTATAAAGTAGACACAGAATAGTTTCATTGCCCTAAAAATCCTGTGCAGTCTGCTGATTCATCCCTTCCTCCCACCAACCCCTGACAACCACTCATCTTTTTATGGTCTCCATAATTTTAACTTTTACAGAATATCATATAGTTGGAATCATGCCTTTTCAGTATGTAGCCTTTTCAGACTGGCTTCTCTCACTTAGTGACATGATCTAAGGTGCTTCCAGGTCTTTCCATGACTTGATAACTCATTTCTTTTTAATGCTGAATAATATTCCACTGTCTGGAGGGACCACAGTTTATTCATCATTCACCTACCAAAGGACATCTTGGTTGTGTTTAAGTTTTGACAACTATAGACAAAGCTGCTATAAACATTGATGTGTAGGTTTTTATGTGTATATAAGTTTTTGAATCATTTGGGTAAATACCAAAGAGCACAATGAATGGATCATATGGTAACAGTCTGTTTAGTTTTATGAGAAATTGCCAAAATGTCCTGTAAAGAGGCTATACCATTTTTCATTTCCACCAGCAATGAATGAAAGTTCCTGGCCCACAACTTCACCAGCATTTAGTGTTGTGTTTTGGATTTTGGCCATTCTAATAAAGTATATAATATGGTAATGTTTTTTTTAATATTTAAACCTCTTCCCCTGAAATCTGAAAAACCTCATGGCATTGGCATCTCAGATAATGTGACCATGGTGACTGCTCTTCTACATTATTAAAGGCTTTTGATTTTTGGTTAATAACTCCCTCTGTTTTCTTTAATCTATCATTTAGTAAACAAAACCATTTGCTTTTAATATATAATCAATTTTGTATCAACTACATAAGTTATACAAAACCTTAGTAGAGGTAATTCAAAATTTAAAATATTTTGGACTGCTTGATGTAATTTTCATATACGTGCGTCACTTTTGTCAGATGCACTTTTGTAATGGATTTCTTCTTCAGGCAGCACTGAAAAACTTCACCTCATCAGGCACCCTACTGATGGAGGATGGGGCATCAAGGCCCAGAACTGTGCCAAATGGCATCCAGCCACATTAGTGTGAAATGATTTAAAAACAAAACTACACACAAAGCAGGAAAGACACAGTCAGACCTGTTTTATAAATACAATCCATATACAGATAAAGATGTTCTGTGGTCACATAACAGAAAGAGATACACAACACAAAGACAGGTAGAGAGTTAGGACCTAAGCTTTCAAAAATCCATGGGAACAGGGAAGCAAGTCACTTGTTCCTCATTCTGTCTATGAATCACACTCTTCTCTGGGTCTTTATTGGTAACTTCACCTAAAGACAACAATCTTCCCATATCTAAACAGACATTCAGTTCACAAAGGTAAGTAAAGCAGGATCTGCCTTCCAGGGGCGATAAAGGTGACTGGGTCAACAATGAAACAGCACATGGTTTTTGGTTTAGAAAAATGAAGTTAATCAGTTACCAGACTCACCACTTTAACTCTACCATACCCTCTTCTCTAACCAACAGAGCTGCAGTCCCCAGAAACCCTCCAGGAAGAGCAACTGTGTGTATGAGACTGGGGGGAAACTGGGCTAGAGGACACACCAAGAGTACGGGTGATCAATGAAGGTCAGGAAAATTTTCTTTCATTTTCTAAAATAAAATGGTAACAACATTGAATAGATTTCCATACCTACTTCAAATGAATAGCAATGGAATTAATATGGGTAGTTGCTATGTACCATCCATGCTGATTAGAATATTCTTATAATCTATCTTCTTCCAAATTTCACTAAGATCCTTCTAAATTTGTTTCACTTTGTGGTTGTCTTCTACTTCCTTATTAGTTTGCCATCCAAATATGTGACACCTTCTGATTTTAGGTGGGAGTGCCCTGGGTCCAGGTTCCCTTCTTCACAGAAGTGGCATTCTTCAGTAAGTCAGGCAGTGGCCGAAGTGGAAAAGAATTCTATTCCTGCTCTGTCATCCACTCTTTTCCATCCTCAATTCCTTCTGCTCCCACTTTTTCTACAGATGCAACTTCAAAATATTCAAGCCTAAATTATCCAGGTGACTAAAGAGTTCATAAAAGAAAGTTTATTTTTCCAAATGTTAAACTCAGGGCTAATGAGAAAATATTTAATAGACTTAGCTCTTCTGTGGCCAAATTCTAAAATCCTGAAAGTTTCATCATGATTTCTGGGGTGTCAATCTATATTACAACATTAAGGTGAAAGTACCTTCCCCTACTTGTTCTTCAGAAATGTTGGTGGATAACAAGAAATTTTTCTAACATTTTAGAGTTAAAGTGATTCTATGCTCCCATTTTGGTCCTTGAAAGAATCCTGTGAGGGAAGCAAGGCAGGAATTATATTCTTCCTTGACAAATGGGGAGTCTAAGTCCTTTTGAAGGGAAGAATTAAAACAATTCATATAAAGCATTGGTCAAAGAAATTGAAGAAGATATAAATAAATGGAAAGGTATTCTGTGTTCATGGAATGGAAGAAAGAAGAAAATACTTCCCATTTCTAAAAGAAGACTATTTCCATGATAAATATTCTGACCTAAGGATGAACTACTTCACCAGTGGCACATAAAAACATGTTCCTACTTTATCACTGAGTCAAATCTCTTTGTTTTTTTTTTTATTAAGATATCACTGATATACACTCTTATGAAGGTTTCACAAGAAAAACAATGTGGTTATTACATTCATCCTTATTATCGAGCCCCCCCTCCCCCGCCCAATAAAATCTCTTTGTTTTTTAAACAAGTTTAACCCAACATGCAATCCCTGCAGACCTAATCCCTACCAGGTAGGATGCCACCTCAGGCATATGACAAGGGGTAAAACACAGTCTTGTCCTTAAGTACTGTCCATGCCTTCTGGGGAGGAAGAATTGGACTTTCCAACACAGCACGGCGAGTGTTACTCTGGAAGGGTGGGCACAGTGTTTCGGGAACATTGCAGAGCCTAGGAATCTCAAGAACACTTCTGGGGTGTGACAACTGAGCTGGATTTTCCAGTGTGAAATTTTCACCACAAATGAAAAGGGGAAAGACCTTCTCAGCAAAGGGACCATGAAAAAGAGAAGGAGTCTTTAGAGAACAGAGTGTTTTGTGGGACTACAGCACAGAGGACGGTGATGGGGATGATCACATTGAGGAGAAGAGCTGTGGCCAGAACAGAAAGGGTGGATTTTACCCTGTAGGAAGGACAACGTGGAGCCATGAAGGTTTTTACGGAAGATGCAGCGAGACCCAATCTGTGTCTTAGGAAAAGAAGTGTGGTAGCTAATGGGAGGGAGAAGGCTGGAAGACCAGCGAAAGGCATTACGGGGCTCAGGCAAGCTGTTTATAATATGCCTCCAGATGTCTCTGCTCTTAGGTGCTCAGAGCCATTGTCCCCTACATGTTCTCTAGCTACATGTGAGTTCCCCCCCTTTAATTATGTATTGATACTCATATATATTCTTTCCTACCCAAAATATATCATCTGTGGTTCATAAGATCACATCCCATATGATAAACATTTAGGTAAATACTTAAAAGATAATCTTACCTGAACAAAGCTGTTCCACTTTTGTGTAGTTCAAAGAAACTATGTCATTAACCCATGCAATGATGTCATGTCTGCTCATAGTCTCTTGGGTTATCGAGGTAGAATACACATTGACTGCCATTCCCCAACTAGAAAAAAAAAAACAAACAGGTTTATTCACCTACAAGGAAAAACTCACTCAGACATATGAAAGACACCTATTCAAGGCTGAGACCCCTGGCAGAACACTAAAGGATGTGAAAGTCCTGCTTTGGCTAAACACTTTCTCTTTTCTTTCTATTCTATGTATTTGCTGTAACCTGATTACATTTCACATATTTTCATGCAGTGCCATTTTACATCTCCCCCAACTGGACTCAAGTGTTCTTCAGGTTCTTAGATACCTCCCATTTTGTCCTTAAATCCACATGTGGTCTTGATAGTTATCAGGTCTGTAACTGAACACTAGAATTATCTTTCAGCTTCACAGACTACTTCATAGTTCTACTTCATAGGACTACAAACAGTGCAAGTCCTGCAGGCTGTATCCCCGCTGCATCCAGTTGCTCAGGCTAAAAACACCATCACCATTCCTGCCTTCCAGGTTTCCATCACATTCACTCCACCAGCAGACAAGCTGTCTCTGCCCTCCAAGTGCATCCAGAGACTGTTACCCTGATCCAAACTCCGGTCAGCTTCACCTGGTGTTTCACAGTAGTCTTTTAGTTGGTCCCCCAACTTGCACCCAACTATCCTCACCATCTATGGTCAACACATCAGCCAGAGTGATCCTACTGGCATAAATCAGACCTTTCCCCTCCTTAAAGCCCTCCAATGGCTGCTCATCTCAGAGTACAATCCCAGTTCTCACCAAGCTTTATAAGGCCTTGTATATTCTGCTCCCTAACACTATCTCTTGCTCCCCACCCCATCTACTCTATCATAACCAGCCTCCTGGCTGTTTCTTGAACCCTGCAAGCTCATTTCTCCTCAAGGCCTTTGCACTGCATGTCAGCCAGGATCTCTCAGGTACTTTGAAGCTTACTGCCTCACTTCCCTCAGGTTCTCACTTGATGCCACTTCGTCCAGCAGGTGGCTCATCATTACCTACCTACTCTTTTGCCCCTTACAGACACAGGGATACAAGCTCCATGTGACAGGCATGTTGCTCATTTTATTCTTTGTATATTCCTGGTGGCTAGTTCTGTTATAGAGTAGGCTTTCAGTAAAAATACTGAATGCAGGAATGTGCTCTTTTTTCAATATAGGTAAGCAGAGAAGTAGTTAAGAACATGTTTTAAATCAGCTTTAGAGGAAATCAGCTTTAGAGGAAATCAACTTTAGAAACTGGTTACTTATGTTACAATTAACAAACCTACACTGATGCATTAACATCACCTGAAGTCTATACTTTACACTGGGTTCATGCTTGGTGTATATTCTGTGGGTAGTGACAAATACATAATGACATGGACCACACAGAATTATAAAGTAGACACAGAATAGTTTCATTGCCCTAAAAATCCTGTGCAGTCTGCTGATTCATCCCTTCCTCCCACCAACCCCTGACAACCACTCATCTTTTTATGGTCTCCATAATTTTAACTTTTACAGAATATCATATAGTTGGAATCATGCCTTTTCAGTATGTAGCCTTTTCAGACTGGCTTCTCTCACTTAGTGACATGATCTAAGGTGCTTCCAGGTCTTTCCATGACTTGATAACTCATTTCTTTTTAATGCTGAATAATATTCCACTGTCTGGAGGGACCACAGTTTATTCATCATTCACCTACCAAAGGACATCTTGGTTGTGTTTAAGTTTTGACAACTATAGACAAAGCTGCTATAAACATTGATGTGTAGGTTTTTATGTGTATATAAGTTTTTGAATCATTTGGGTAAATACCAAAGAGCACAATGAATGGATCATATGGTAACAGTCTGTTTAGTTTTATGAGAAATTGCCAAAATGTCCTGTAAAGAGGCTATACCATTTTTCATTTCCACCAGCAATGAATGAAAGTTCCTGGCCCACAACTTCACCAGCATTTAGTGTTGTGTTTTGGATTTTGGCCATTCTAATAAAGTATATAATATGGTAATGTTTTTTTTAATATTTAAACCTCTTCCCCTGAAATCTGAAAAACCTCATGGCATTGGCATCTCAGATAATGTGACCATGGTGACTGCTCTTCTACATTATTAAAGGCTTTTGATTTTTGGTTAATAACTCCCTCTGTTTTCTTTAATCTATCATTTAGTAAACAAAACCATTTGCTTTTAATATATAATCAATTTTGTATCAACTACATAAGTTATACAAAACCTTAGTAGAGGTAATTCAAAATTTAAAATATTTTGGACTGCTTGATGTAATTTTCATATACGTGCGTCACTTTTGTCAGATGCACTTTTGTAATGGATTTCTTCTTCAGGCAGCACTGAAAAACTTCACCTCATCAGGCACCCTACTGATGGAGGATGGGGCATCAAGGCCCAGAACTGTGCCAAATGGCATCCAGCCACATTAGTGTGAAATGATTTAAAAACAAAACTACACACAAAGCAGGAAAGACACAGTCAGACCTGTTTTATAAATACAATCCATATACAGATAAAGATGTTCTGTGGTCACATAACAGAAAGAGATACACAACACAAAGACAGGTAGAGAGTTAGGACCTAAGCTTTCAAAAATCCATGGGAACAGGGAAGCAAGTCACTTGTTCCTCATTCTGTCTATGAATCACACTCTTCTCTGGGTCTTTATTGGTAACTTCACCTAAAGACAACAATCTTCCCATATCTAAACAGACATTCAGTTCACAAAGGTAAGTAAAGCAGGATCTGCCTTCCAGGGGCGATAAAGGTGACTGGGTCAACAATGAAACAGCACATGGTTTTTGGTTTAGAAAAATGAAGTTAATCAGTTACCAGACTCACCACTTTAACTCTACCATACCCTCTTCTCTAACCAACAGAGCTGCAGTCCCCAGAAACCCTCCAGGAAGAGCAACTGTGTGTATGAGACTGGGGGGAAACTGGGCTAGAGGACACACCAAGAGTACGGGTGATCAATGAAGGTCAGGAAAATTTTCTTTCATTTTCTAAAATAAAATGGTAACAACATTGAATAGATTTCCATACCTACTTCAAATGAATAGCAATGGAATTAATATGGGTAGTTGCTATGTACCATCCATGCTGATTAGAATATTCTTATAATCTATCTTCTTCCAAATTTCACTAAGATCCTTCTAAATTTGTTTCACTTTGTGGTTGTCTTCTACTTCCTTATTAGTTTGCCATCCAAATATGTGACACCTTCTGATTTTAGGTGGGAGTGCCCTGGGTCCAGGTTCCCTTCTTCACAGAAGTGGCATTCTTCAGTAAGTCAGGCAGTGGCCGAAGTGGAAAAGAATTCTATTCCTGCTCTGTCATCCACTCTTTTCCATCCTCAATTCCTTCTGCTCCCACTTTTTCTACAGATGCAACTTCAAAATATTCAAGCCTAAATTATCCAGGTGACTAAAGAGTTCATAAAAGAAAGTTTATTTTTCCAAATGTTAAACTCAGGGCTAATGAGAAAATATTTAATAGACTTAGCTCTTCTGTGGCCAAATTCTAAAATCCTGAAAGTTTCATCATGATTTCTGGGGTGTCAATCTATATTACAACATTAAGGTGAAAGTACCTTCCCCTACTTGTTCTTCAGAAATGTTGGTGGATAACAAGAAATTTTTCTAACATTTTAGAGTTAAAGTGATTCTATGCTCCCATTTTGGTCCTTGAAAGAATCCTGTGAGGGAAGCAAGGCAGGAATTATATTCTTCCTTGACAAATGGGGAGTCTAAGTCCTTTTGAAGGGAAGAATTAAAACAATTCATATAAAGCATTGGTCAAAGAAATTGAAGAAGATATAAATAAATGGAAAGGTATTCTGTGTTCATGGAATGGAAGAATACTGTTAAAATGTCTATACTATCAAGGCAATCTATAGATTCCCTGCATTCCCTGTCAAAACCCCACTGGCATTTTTCTCAAAACTAGAATAATTCCAAAATTTGTATGGAACCACAAAAGACTCTAAATAGCCAAACTGACCTTGAGAAAGAGTAAAACCAGAGGTATCATGGTGCCTTTCAAACTATACTACAAAGCTATAATAAAAACAGTATGGTACTGGCACAAAAGACAGACACACAGCTCAATGGAACAGAGTGGAAAGCCCAGAAATAAACCCATGCATATATGTATGGTCAATTAATTTAAGACAAAGGAGGCAAGAACATACAATGGGGAAACTATAGTCTCTTCAATAAATGGCATTGGGAAAACTGGACAGATATATGCAAAAAATGCAACTGGACCACTATCTTACACAGTACACAAAAATTAACTCAAAATGCGTTAAAGATTTGAAAGTAAGACCTGAACCATAAAGCTCCTGGAAGAAAACACAGGCAGTAAGCTCCTTGATATTAGTCTTCATGATTTTTTTTGGATCTGATTCCAAGGGCAAGGGCAACAAAAACGAAAATGAGAGAGTGAGACTGCACCAAACTGAAGAGCTTCCACACTGCAAAGGACACCATCAATAAAGCAAAAAGGGCACCTAGTGAATGAGAGAAGATAATTTGCAAATCATATATCCCAAAAGGGGTTAATATTCAAAATACATAAAGAACTCATACAACTCAATTATAAAAACACAAACTGTCTGATTAAAAAATGGGCAGAGGACCTTAGTAGACATTTTCCCAAAGAAGACACATGGATGGCCAAGAGGGACATGAAAAGATGCTTAATATCACAATCAAAAACCACAATGAGGTATCACCTCACACCTATCAGAATGGCTATTATCAAGAAGACAAGTAAAACCAGTGTTGGTGAGGATGTGGAGAAAAGAGAACTTTTATGCACTCTTGGTGGGAATGTAAATTGGTGCAGGTGCTATCGAAAACAGTATGGAAGTTCCTCAAAAAATTAAAAATAGAACTACTATATGATCCAGCAATTCCAATTCAGGGTATTTATTCAAGGAAAATGAAAACACTAACTTAAAAACATATGCACCACTATGTTCACTGCATCATTATTTACAGTAATGACCATATGAAAACAACCTAAGCGTGTCCATCAATAAACAGATAAAGAAGATGGGGTACACACACACACACACACACACACACACAATGGAATACTGATCAGCCATAAGAAAGAACTAAAACTTGCCATTTGCAACAACATGGATGGGCCTTAAAGGTACTGTACTAAGCGTAATAAATCAGACAGAGAAAAACAAATACTACATGATTTCACTTATAAGTGGAATCCAACAAAACAAAACAAAACAATACCCAGAGTCCTAGATACAGTAAGCACAGTGGTAACTGCCAGACAGGGAGGGGATGCAGGAGGTATGCAATGGGTGAAGGGAGTCAAGAGGTACAAGCTTCCAGTACTAGATACAGTAAGCACAGTGGTAACTGCCAGACAGGGAGGGGATGCAGGAGGTATGCAATGGGTGAAGGGAGTCAAGAGGTACAAGCTTCCAGTTATAAAATGTATGTCATAGGGATATAATGCACAGTCAATAATATCATACTAACTTTATATGGTGACAGATGGTACCTACACTTACTGAGGTGATCATTTCCTAGTGTAGATAAATGTCCAATTATTGTTGTATACATGAAACTAGTAGAATATTTTATGTCAATTACATGTCACACATGTATATGTATTACAAATATGTATGACAAAATCTATTCAAAATACTAATTTTTAAATTTACTCGTTTCCAAAAACTCAGTCAAGAAAAACAAACAGCTAAGAAATGGTGAGGTGTGCTACAGAATAAACAGTCAGTGCATGCTGTAGGATTTACTTTCCTGTTTGGATCCTCCATATGTCCTTTACACAGAAACAACAGTTTATTCTCAGATGACCTGCTGTCTAGCCTCTGGGATGTAAGCATGTCTCTCTGTGCCATCCTTGCAAATTCAAAGCACTGTCCTCTAATTTGTGGCTTTTAGTTAGAATTTTAATGAGATCACTACATGTTTAAAGCCTGGTAAGTATAACAGCCCCAGAGGTAACATATATAGGTAAGGGACAATTCCCTAGCACTACCATCTCTGGGTCACCATACTTTGATATGACATTTAAATTTTATTTTTGAAAGGATTTGCATTCTTTGCTCCTACCTGAAAATAAACCTACCTGAAAACACAATATATTTACATACAATTTTCATCATGGTTTGAATGCCTTTCTGGGAAGCTGGCAAAATATATATATATACTTTCTGAATAGGACAAAGAAAAACAGAGCAAAATAAAAATCCCTTCATACCTTCAGCAGGCAGTCACGACTCTTGCTTATCCTTGGATGGTGACCACTGACACACACTTTAGAAAAAGGACAGCCTCAGGCTGAGTGAGGCCCAAGGTGTTGATTTTGCCCTGCTTCATCCTGCACTCGACATTGGCAGTGGTGAGGGGAGACTCTGGTACAGAAAGTTTATGCTCAGCAGTTACTCAGTCATACAAATTAGAAAGTACATTTCTACTTAATGAAATAAAAGGAATTTTATGCGCTCAAAGAGACCTGAGGTAGCCTGTTAACTGACACAGACCTGGGTAAAGACTTGCAAGCCCCACACCATGGAAGCCAAATTATGAATTCTACCACCTTACCAGTCATGGATCCCAAAACCAATTTCAAAATAATCTAAAACTTTGTCCAACAACAAATTTGGCAAGGTTTGTGAATTATTCCAGAGGAGTGTTTTTTCAAAATTTGACAAATATATAAAATGCCATAGTTAGCATTATGTGTGTCCTTGAACTGAAATTACTTATTTTGTAATGCATATTGCCTCTCTAACCCACCTGAACCCCTACAAATGCATCACAGACCTGTGTGTGTGTGTGTGTGTGTGTGTGTGTGTGTGTGTGTGTGGTGTGTGTGTGTGTGTGTGTGTGTTTGTTGGAGGGGAGTTGCTTTTCCTTATTTCTTCCCTTCACTCCTTTTACAGGAAAACACAGTGTTTTTTCTTCCAGCAAGGCTCGTTATAGGCCAGGTAACCCAGGATACTGGTTTTGGTCCTGTTTTGGGTGTGTGGTTATAAGGAGAGGGGTTTGAAAATTAATTTTGGGAATGAGGCATGTGGAATCTATTTTGATTTTGATTTTTTTCACAACTAACTTCTGAGTTTGCCAGGGTTGCCATGTTTAGACACAACCATCTGCAGAAGAACAGCCCTCCATAAGTGGCTGGCTATGGTGTGATGCTCTGTAAAGAGGCCCCATTTGGCTTAGATTTAACCCAAACCCATTTTGAAGCTGAACCTTTAAAAGCCCTTCCTGACTTCGGTTATACCGTCTTTATGTCACTCCCTAAAGGAGTCCATATACAACAGGAAACTTCACATTCAGCATAAAGTGTTCTGAAAATTCAACCCATCCTATGCCAATTTACTCCATCATTTTACTCTGACATCTAACAACTATTCCCCTATTTGTGATTATCTTTCTTCTCTTCCATAACAATGTCCATTTTCAACATGTTCCCCTATCGCTGGGAGAAGTAATCCATTTTACCAGTCTAAGATAAATACAGGCAATCCATCCTTCACCATTTAGTTTCACATAAATGAAAACAAGATCCAAGAACAGAGGGATTTTTCTTTCACCTGAGAAACTTGTTTGAGTTCGGGTACATAGAGATTTCTGAAGCTTTGTGATAATCCATAGCCCAAGAGGTTTCTTAAGTAATGTTCAAAGATATCAGTGCTTCATAGGAAGCCATGTCCTACTGGCCAAGTGTTAAGAGTTTTCTTCAGGGTGTCTCAGAAGTTATTGCTGGTACCATGTCTCCATAAATGCCAAGGTAAGAGAAACACCTGTGAGCCACAAGAACACCTTTCTTTACTCATCATCAGATGTAACTTGATCAAGGCCTTGCCTTTAGTTCCCATCTCACATGGTGTTCTGTTTCAAATTTTTAGGATTTTCAAGGTTGGCCCATTCCTACATACCAGGTAAAGGGAGGAGCAGTATTTCAAACATGCCCGTAAACATGACTTTTTACTCAAAGGACTTTTTTTGGTCATTCTAATAGAAATGGACATTTTGCAAACACTTCTAAATATCCACAAATAATATGAGTTTAAAAATAGATTTAGCCTATCATTGGTATAAGTATTTCCTTCTCTTAATAAGTGGCATCTTTATAAAATAACCTATAAATATGAAGAAAATGTATGTTTACATATACTTACAGATCAAATATTGAGTCCAAAAGAAGAAACTCCAAAAGCTGTTCTCAAAGACCACTTCTGATTAGAATATGTAATCAATTTGAGGGGGAATGAAGAAATTCAGACCCGCAACCAGACATTCATGTAAATGTGTGAGTCTTCCTCTAAAAACCCTTGTAACACCACAAATAGGCTCTGCCTGAGCGCTTCCTTCCTGGCTGCCTCCTAACAAAAGGCTGATGCGAAATCTCCCATGGCTTTCCCTAATAATGAACTGGGGATCAGCAGGGAGTGGTGCTTAAGTGCATTCCCTAAACCAGAAACTTACCCACTTTTCAGCTGTGCATAATTTATTCTTTAGACTCAATATGATTAGGCACAAATCTAAACATTTCACCAAGGAAAGAATATTTCCAGATACGTCTCAATTCACTTTCTCTTTATTTTGTGACCTGAAATGTGGAGGCAGGGAGACAGTATTTGTTTGAAGAGGGGATTGGGACAGAGTAAAGTCAAAGAAGGTACCTTTGAAAGACAAACCTTGACATATGCAAGCTCCCTGGAGAGACATTATAGAAACTGTGTAGAGTGTCCTTTAAAATTGGGTATTAAAGCTTCTGTTTAACTTGTGGCATGATTGATGCATGCATGGGCATTAGGGCTGGGGTGGGAATTTAAGAGGTCACTTACTGTCTTCAGGTAATAGTAATACAGCTGAGCTGTAGAGAGCAGATGTGCATCTATTCTATTTTTTTATAGGGCTCTGTGACTCTGTTATGGGATTAGACAGACATGGAAGAGTAAGTTCTCCAGGCACAGACCCTCCCCAGCATGCTGTCACGAGCCAGTGGAAGGGCCTCCTAGGGTAGCAGAGGTCTGCACACAATACTGCCTTCAGATGAGGACAGCACAGAAACATCAGGACATGGCTAGTTATAACACATGTATTTTTGTTAAAAAATTTTATTGGCAGATATTTGAAAGATATTGAAATACACCTTTTCTCAAAATGTAGAGCTAGTGAAGACCACCAATGTAAGAAACTCTAATACTAAGTTTCTTGGAGAAACACTGGATAAAACATGAGTTTTATACAGAGGCAGGATTTGCCTGCTCTTTATTCCAAGGTTTTCTAGGAGGCCCAGCATTACAATTATTCATATACTCTGTGTTATTCACTGCTTAATGTCATTTAGGTTAATGCTTTTAAAGTGGGCACAAAGTTTCATTTAATCTCCTAATCAGAAGTATGAACTCCAGCTAATAACTGCCACCTCCCAGAGAGAATGAACAGAAAATACTTTTTCAGGGTGCCCATCTCTTTTACCATTAACTGTCACTTTCTAAAACAGAGATTAAGTTCTTTCTCAACATATCATCACCAAGTATTCCAGGTACTATTTTTAAAGAATAGAATATGACTAAAACACAGATTTCTCCAACTGCCTGCAAAAGGAGATTCCATAACTAGCCTTGAAAATTTACCTCCATCTTAATAGTCTTGTCATTACAATACGTGTTAACCCGCCCAGCAGGTACTATTCAGTAGATGGCTCCCTAGCTCGCCTACCCACAATATCTTAAAGGAAACAGAAATACAACTTTCAAATCAGCATAAAGAGGTTTTGGCTTTTTTAAACTGAGAATCAACAAGTCAGTAGCTATGGCCCTGAAAGGACTTGGAAACTTGGGTCTTATCCAAGGAGTGAAGAAATTTTGAAATTCTGAAAAAGTTCCTTGTGGCATTTCCAATGTTCACTCTTATGAATAAAACTCAGCTGCATATAATGCAAGAATAAAAAGCTAAGGCCATAAACACACACACAACGGGCATCCGTTTCTTCATATAGTCATAAATATGGCTAATTGTATTTGCCTACATGTCCATCTGTTTCAAACAGCGGGGGGCTTGGCCCAGGCTCTGAGAACGACTCCAGTGACCCGGAGTTCGTTGCCATGCCACATGGCTTGGCTGGCCTCCTCAGGGCACCAACTTCTGCTTAGTCCCCCGCCTCCGACTTGGTTCCCACCACTGCTCTCCTTCTTGACTGTGTGCTCTCTGTCTTACTTTCCCAGCCTTACTTGGACTGCTCCCTCTCACCGTGACCTGAGCTCTCTCCCATGACCCCAAGTCATTTCCAGTCAGATCCCAAGCTCCCCTGGCATATGCCCAGACCATCCTTTCAGGGCATCAGTACTGTGACCACCACGGTGGGTGACCACAGTTACTAATCCACCCTGCATAAACTTAGGAGCTGAGATAGAGCAGGAGAGGGCGTGGCGACTGAGTTGAACATGCCAGTCGGGCAAAGCTGTGTGGCGGTAAATTTCTGTAGGGCACGCTTCTCCTCCCAGCCCCCACTTCTGTGCTAGTTCCTCCTCAGGACTCAGCAGCTCCAGTTGTTTGCCTTCTCTAAACCTTCTCGTAAGAAAAAAATGAAGGAAAAGAGCTTGAAGCTCAATCCTAGGGATACCTGGGCTCCAGGTCTCATGCAAAGGAAGAGGTGCCTCCTGGCACCCGGCGCCCTGGCTGCATCTAGTGCTTCAGGTTGGCTCAGGTGCCAACTACTCAGCAGGCTGTCCCTGACACCCTCTGAAGTGGCCTCCAGCAGCTAACCTCATGCAGCTCCTTCAACTGTGCTTCTGACATGTCTGACTGTCCACTACCTTCTGCCCCCAGGATGTAAGGTAAGCGCCAGGAAGGCAGGTACTTTACAGAATATGCTTTGTTCACTGCTGTGTTGCCTGTGTCTAGAGCACTGCCTGGTGCATAGTGGGTGCACAATAAATGCTGAATGAATCCAGTGCAGGGCAGTTCTGTAGAGAGGGGAAATTCACAGGGTACACAAAATCATACACCACATAGGCAAATGCCAATGTATGTCTCTAAGCTCTATGAGATGGTTAAGAGGGAATACATTTGGGATGAGTAGACTGAAGGACTTTTCTTTCCATGTCTGAAAGAAATCAGTACTGAAATGTGCCATGTTTCATGCCTCCAACACGGAAGTAGAAAGCTCACCAGCTATACTGCAGTTTCTCGAGAGCAATGATCTATGAGTCAGGGGCCCGACATCTAGCTGCACAGCTACCATCCACCAGCTGGGTAAAGCTGGGAACACGAGCTCCACCTCTTTGGATCTCCTTTTCTTCCTATGAAGTAGTAATTAGAACTTATGTTCTCACTTAGTCTTCACAATGGTATGGGATAGCTACTGCTTTTATGCCATTGTGGAGGAAAAGACACA